GGGGGGGGGGGGGGGGGGGGGGGGGGGGACGGTATGTAACGACGTCTAGGTGTTAGATGTTCGAGGCTCGCGAGGAGAAAAGGGCCTTCGACGCGAACCTCGCTGCAACGGGGGGTAGAGAACTCTCGTTTCGCTAATGCCGTCGACAATGCGGACTTTCGAAGAAAGGCCTACGCTTTCAGCCCCGGTAATCGGACTCGTCGCGATAATGCCATACATAAGTGGACCTCCTGCGTTTCTGTCGGGGCAATTGCGCGAACCGTATAGTCATAGTCGTCGTCGTAGCGGAGGGTACAGGGACCAAGAAGGATTTAATGGTGGAAGAAAAAGAAGAGCGACTCACCTGATTAGCTGCAGTCTGCCTTATCAGTCTCCTCGTGACAGTGCATGGTGTTCTACCACCCCTGGCTGTGAAACGCGGATGCAGGGGTAAACCAGTGAGAGGATCGATAGGCTCTAATTCGAGATGCCTCAAATACGTTAAGTCTTCTGCTCCTGAATTATTATTATCTGGTTCTCCGTCCTTCGACAAGGGTGGCGAAACTCCACAGTCTTGAGGCAAACCGGCATAAGGATTGCTCGTGTTTCGACCGATTCCTGCTTCTAGCGGATGCCATGTCGCTTCCTGAAAATTGCCACTAATTTAGCGGAACGTAGATGAGCGCTGTTGCCGGAAAATTCGTATTCTCCAATCGTATTCTTTACGCGTACCGTGAACGCCGATACGGTATTAATTCGCGAGCGAAATTTTTCACGAGTCCGATAGCTGTGCCGTAAAGCGAACATCCATCCAATCGTAGCCCTGGATGTTTATTTCGCGGACACGCGACCGCCGTTGCAACGGAACGACGAGAAACGTATTCCCACGACCCTTGCCTTAATCCTTTCAGCAGAACATAAATATCTTGAGCAGAACTCCGACCACGAAGAACACCACACAGTATATAGCCACCACGATCATTTTCCGTTTCACGCGTCGCGGAACAACGTGAACCAACGATTTCGATCAGATTACCGAGATATTTCGACACCTGCCACCTTTAACGAGGTCAAAGCGCAAGTGAATCTTTGCCGGGTAACGTTCCACTTACTTGCCTCGTAACGAGCTTAGCCCTGACCTTAAGCCAGGAAGACTTACGAATCCAAAGTAAACAGCTGACGTGCAGCCACGTATCAAACTTCCTCCTTGTCCAAATAGTATCGCGTCCGAAGCAACGATGTATTTATTTCCCCTTCGTCGCGAGACGAATCGAACGGAATGGAACGGAATCGAGCAGAGCCGATCCTGATCGATCGCGTTGTACGTCTTATCGCGATGAGCGATTGAACGGCCTAAAGGCGCAACGATATTTACCTTATCTTGAGACAGGGGTAGAGGTAGAGTCATACAGCCCAACAGCTCGCTACGTCTGAAACACGGAAAACGGAGAGGTGCATGAATATACGCGTGTATCGGTGTGTATCGGCTTGCCATTGGCCAGCGTCGCCGGTGTTGGTGTGGATACGTACGCTAGACGGCCGTGTAGTAAGCCGCTAGATAGACGGCGTGCACACACGTAACTTTTAACTATATATTTACATTGGGCGGAGGGAAAAGCAGAAGGTAGACAGGTTTCGGAGTCGTTTGCCGTATACCGTTGCAGAGACGCGCGGATGTGACCAAGTGCACGTGGCGAGTACGGTGCGCATGCTTCCAGGGAATCGATTCCCCTCCTACCGCAAGGAATCCGCGCATACCCCAGAAATTCGTTTCGGTATTTGGATGGACCGTGGCTTCGGAACCTACGTAAAATTATCCCGAATCGTGGTATCTCTTATCGACCGGCTGCGTTATCTCGTGTTCGTTGGAAGCCGACCGGACGGTGGGCAAAATAATTCCAGGATCTCGCGTGGGCCAACGAATTCGAACGTCGGCCATACGAACACGGTGCGTTTCTCTGCGAAACCGACTACGGTCCTTCGCGAATCGACTCTGAAACGTGGTTGCTCGGCTAGCTCGTCTTGGACTAACGAGACCGAGCCGTAGTTCTTGACCCCGATATCTTTTCCTCCGAGACAGCGCCTACTTCTCTGCGCCCTTTCATCGCGGAACGGTGTACAGTCGCTCGCTCGTTTCTTCTCCCCGCGTTGCATTTCTTCTCGCTCGTATGAATTTTTGATACACTCGCTGCGGGGGAATATACGCGATCGATGTCCTCGGCGAATATCGAAGGACGTTTCTCGCCGATTCGCGATAATGTCATCGCGACGAACGTTTGCATCGATTCGAGTATCCTCGCGCGTGAACGGAACGCGAAGGACTCGATTGGCAACGCTCGACGCGAAACGTCGCGTCTAAAAATATAGCCGGCATTCTTCCCTCGAAAGTTCATACGGCGGACGTAAACCTTCCGAAAGCGTTCTCGCGGAATGCACGCGAACGAGAGATTAGGGGTTACGCGAGATCGGTATCTCGTGCTGGGTACGAAGCGGCACTAACTATCGCGGTTACCGAGTTAACCGATTATCATTCGGCAAGGTGTTATCGCGGATTCGAGCGGCACGATAGCCGAACGCGCGACTACCGTGCGATTAGAAAGATTGGTGGAAGAGCACGGGCTCGCGTGACGACGCTGCGACAACGAATCGTTCCGGGTCGAGCACGCGTTCCGACCGTCTTAGACGGCGCTCTCTCTATTCCTCACCTCGACCTCCGTCCCAGAGAGCCCCTCTTCTACGTGCACTTTCTTTTTTCGGGCATGCTCACCTTGCACGACGATCCCTGTGCCAGACCGCGATGTCCAGGGACGTGGGCTTGCTGATGCAGTGATTGTTGTTCAACGGGCAGGGCAGTATCAAGGTCTCGTGGAAAACGGGATTCGGCGTGGCCCTATGCACCGCCGTCCGTTTCACCACCCCCTCGCCGTTCGTGTTCTTCAAACTCGCCTTCACGTAAGCGTGAATAGGACCCTCGTATGCCCTCCTCAGGTCCTTGCACCTTATCACTGCGCGAAACAGAAAGACAGAAAGCCTCGTCAAGACGCGAGCCTCGCCTTGTTCGTACGTCGCCGAGGTTTGCCACGCGTTTCCACCGAGCACGACGTTCCAGACGATCGGAAAAGCGTTGCCACCGACAACCGGGATTCCTTCTCCTTCCGTCCGACCGTTTCTTCGCACGCACTACGCGCACCGCCAGTGCCTGACCAATGCGACACTCCTCTACTACTCGCTGCAACACGCGTCTACTTCGAGGGCTTCCTCCTCGATCTCGCGACCGAACGCGGGGTTCAAGAAACGGAACGCTTCGAACCGACGGAGATGTCGATTCTGTTCGCGAGATAGATCACACCGTTACCGGTTCGAGGGGTCTCTGTCTCGAAGGCGAAATTTATCGCGAGCTGTCTGCTCGCCCGAAACGACGATCACTCGAGATTGTTACCGGTTCGAGGGGTCTCTGTCTCGAAGGCGAAATTTATCGCGAGCTGTCTGCTCGCCCGATACGACGATCACTCGAGATACAGAGAGAGAGAGAGAGAGAGAGAGAGAGAGAGAGAGAGAGCGAGAGAGAGAGAGAGAGAGAGAGAGAGAGAGGGGGGGGAGGGAAGCGCACGATCGAAAGAACGAAAGAACGGGAGGTCTCGAAGATTTCCCAGGAGTTGTTTACGCAAGGATGTGTACCGCGAAGAATCAATGTTGGTAGGCTTACTAACCGGGAGCGAATTGCCAGGAGGGTCTGTGGGTTACTGGCACAGTCGTCTATCGCGGGGTGCCAACTGAAACACCCCCTCTCGTGACACGTAACTGGCGCATGTCTTTTCGCAACAACGTTTCAGGGACGTCTCCGAGACGCGGAGACCCTCGCGAACTTATTCCTAATGGGGTTTATATGTCCCACGTTTCGGCCGTTAATCCTCTAATGGCTTATCCGGCCGATACCGCGCGCGTGCCTTCTCTCGATCGCGATTTTCACCGACACGCGCGAAAATTCGAAATTCCTCGACCGCGTACACGTCGGTCTACGCTTCGTCTGTCACCGGACACCTCTCGAAAGGTAATTCCCCTTTGTTACGCGTGGTGCACTTACCTCGGACGTGTATCTGATCGCCCACGACGGAATACTCGATCTCGATCGATCCGTGACAATTGGGTTTGGGCGGTTCGCTTTCCGGACTGAACTTGAGGCATCGTCTGACAGTGGCAACCAAAGGGGTCTCTGGTGTGTTCGACACCGAGTTCAAGAACGATTTCGAGCTGTGAAAGTCGTCGGTGTGGGTAGACTTTGGGCTGTCCAGGTCCCAGGTATTCGCTTTCCTTCCGTCACCCTCCTCGTCCTTGCGCTCCTGCAGGTCGCTCAACAGCGCTTTCGGCTCGTACACGCACTTCTCGTCCAAAGTGGTGTCCAGATCGGTTTCCAAGGCGAGTTTCTTCACGTTCGGATTCACGGCTTCCACCAAACCGTTCCGAGCGGACTCGTGCTGTTTCGTAGCAACGGACGGACTGTGACTAAACGATCGCCTCTTCGCACGCTTTCCCTCGAAAATTTTCTCGGTATCCTTACGATGTCGCTTCCTTCGTATTCCGCGTTGCCGCTTCAACGTGAATTCTCCGTCCAGGTCGTTGGTGGGCGAAGTAAACGCCCAAGACATCGGAGAAGGATCTTCCAAGAGTTGACTGGCCGAGGAGACGGAACTGTCGTTGTGACACGTGGGTTCCTCGTCCACGGTCTCTTCCCTCTCCACGATCGTCTCGTAGGTATGCTCGGAACTTCTAAAATTTTCCTCGTCGCAGCTACCCTCGAGAACTTTCTTCCGCTCCTCGACGTCACCCAGAAGAATCTCCGCCACTGTTTTCCCGCTAAAATTCATCTCCTGCTCCCTAAACGGAAATACGGGGGTATAGAAGAAGATTCGCGATAAGACGGAGATACACCGTTTTAAAGACTTCTTGCCTTCCTTACCTGTTGAGGACCTCCGTCACCGTGTTGTCCATGTTCTCGAATTTAGGTAAATCTTGGTCGATGGCCAAATTCGACAGTTTTCCAGCCAAAGGCGTCTGACCGTGACCCTTGCTCTTAAAGGAGCTCGCAGCCGAGACGGTTTTACCGTGGTACGGCGTTTTGCAACGAGCGTGGATTTTCGTGATCTTGGCCAGTTTCGGCAAGTACGAAATTTTCGTGCAATCAGCGAACTTTGTTTTACCCTCGTTCCGCGAATAGAGCCTGTTCTTCGATAGAGGCACCGACTCGGTCTCCATCACGTCTTCGGGGCTGGTGGCCATGGATATTTGATGGAAAAAGTCGGAAACGTGCGATTGGAGATTCGCCCTGGCCTCGTTCATGATGTTTTGCGGCAGCTCGTTGTCGCTCTGGAAATTCTTTGTTCTACTTTTCATAAAGAGCGCGGGATCCGTTGGCAGGGTCAGAGCCGTCGAACATTTGCTGCCCGGGGGAAAAAACGTTAACGGGCCGATATCGGTGTCGACCCTTGGCGTGCTTTGATAAAAGCTCTCCGAGACCGATGACTTCTCCGGTTGCTGTGACATCGATTGACGTTTGTTGGCGCGCAAATTAGGCTTCGTTGCCTGAAAAACCGACAAACCGATACAGCTCGCCTTCCTTTCCAACTCGGTTCCGCTCTAGGTCGAATTTTGGACGGTTGCCGGTTAACCGGGGAAAGAAAAACGGACGAGAAACGAGAAAAAAAATCGCTGTAAAAATCACTGAGGAGAACCTTACCTGAAAGTACGTTCTCAGATCGCTGCCGTGGCTCCTGCATCTTCTTCGACGAGCCGGCGTCGTTCTAGCCGACATGTTTTCGGCATTCTGAGCAGGTATACCCCGAGTTTTTGTCCCAGCGGCGGGAGGCGTGTTAGATAGATCTCGAAAAGGCCTACGGGGCGCCTTGTTCAAGTTAGGTGGACCGTGAGGCGTCGAGCTGCTCGCTGACAACGATCTCGAAACCGTCCACTTCAGCATCTCTGAAAGGCAAAAAGCAAATCCCTAACTAAGCGAAACGCGTCTGACGTGTATTCTCCCCGTTCTTCCGTTGAAAAGCTCTATCGATTTAACCGCGATCCTGGTCCAGACGGCAGTTACGTGGGTACATACAAGGACTCTTTCGCCGAACTTTCCTTCGGTTATCCGCGAATTCTCTGCGAACGCGAAAGCGAGGCAAGGTGGGTGCTTGACGGAAGCGAAGGAGAACCTTATCGCGGGATCTCGCGTTGAAGGAAGACGAGCGCAGGAAGGTGGCCGACGAGAATGTCGTATCGGCCCGTATCGACCATAAGGACATGCCGAAAATAAACGTCCGGTTCTAATTACGCGACGGGCCGAAAACGGTGACAAGAGAGGAGAGAAGAAAAGGAGGAATAACAGAAAAACGATGACGAAAGCAATGGACGCACCTGTCACGGCATAAGGGAAACAGCGAAACAGGTGAAACCCGGGCACCTGAGTGTATTTCACGACTCGACGCTTGCTCCGCCACGACGAACGGTTTAACGGAGGCCACGATTATCCGCGTACTTTTCGCGCCTATGGCTAACCAAATTAGCGAAACTGGGACGAAAGAACTAACGAATAAATGAAACCGATGGCGCGAGGAAATCGGTCCATTCCCCGCCGAAGATTCGCTGGTCCAAGTAATCGTTGATTCGATTAGGACAATTGAATTTTGCTTTGTTAGCACGGCTCGAATCCCTTCTCGATACGCTCGTTCGCGCTTTCCATTATTTCTTCGCGACCCCTAGCGCGTGCACGGAGTATAATATTTTTAGCGAGTCGCGTCACTGATAATCGACCACGCGAAAAGTTATATAGAAATGGTCAGCGATGGAAATGGTGAGTCGCGTTAAAAGTAAGATCTAAAATCGAGCTCAGAAAAGTATCAATGGTAGCAGCAGCAGCAGCAGCAGCAGTAGCAGTAGCAGGTTTTCGCTTTTAACGGTTCCTGCAGAGGGGGAGGAGGGGAAGGTAGCGTATTGTGAATTAGGTATAAAAATGCATTCATTTGCATACAGGCTGTTACCATGCCACGCACGCGTTCTTCTATCGTAACACGCACTTTTTCACGCGTGTTCGCGTACTTTCGAGTCCGACTCTACCTGTGCCAGTGGTACTCTACGCACCGTCACGTTTTCGTCCACGTACGTACACACACGCGCGCATGTCACATTTATACGCAGCCCCTCGCCTGGCTACGTATACACGGTAGCTTGTAAAACAGCATGGGCACCTGCCCATATGGTGGCGGCCACGTACAGCGTGGCTTCCATCTGGTCCCTCGAAGCACGAGAGCACGCTCGGTGTCGAAACACCGTCGACAGCGACGATCGCTATCTTCGCTTATTACACCCCGTCTTGCTTTAACGTATTCTATACCTTCGCCAACCCTCCCTCGGACACCCACTACTCCCGCGAGCAACGAGCGTTGAACTCGCGACGCGACTCTCCACGCCGCGCGAGCAGACGCCTTCCACGAGAACCATCCATCGATCTTCGATCTTCGCGTTACCGTTTACACCGGACATACTATGCGCCCGTTGCGTCAATATATCGCGATAACGCGACTGGTTTTCCTTGACCGCGAAACGATTCGCGATCGGGAGATTACAGGTAACGACCCCCGTGAGTAGTCGGATCGGTTGCGAGGTAGAACCAGAACGCATCGGAGAAGTGGTTCCAGGGAAATTAACCGACGATACGTTTTTAAAGATTTCACGCGGTCCAAAGTCGGTCGGTCGTGAGTTTAAGGGAGGAAAACCAGTCGGACGACACGCGCGAAACCTTTAAAACGTTTCGTATGTTCCATCCGACGAGTACTCCACGACTAGAACCAGTAACGGAAAGCGGTATGCCTTCTCTTTGCATAATGCTCCGCGATTTGCATCGCTGGAAATGAATTTCGCGAGTACCGACAAAGTAGACGAGCGCGACTCTTCCTCCCATCGAAATCGTATCTTTGATTCGACTTTTGTCGGTGGTCGTTCCATCTTCGACTTTTCTCGTCTCCATGACGAGCTTTGGAATCGAAGAGAGATCGATCGAAGAAAAATGTGTCGGCGACCTGTCAGGCACAGCTGTGTGGTCCCGTTGCCATAATTACCGGGCGACGATAAATCTCGAGTGCGTGCCGCGGTGCGCCTAGGAAAGGGGACTTATGGTCCACCTGTGGCCCTTATCGTTCCATCTAACGACCACCGATATACGTAGCCAACCGACAAATGGCCACCGTAGGAAAGAGACTGTCGTTGTTCGAGGCTATAGCGCGCACTGTGAACCAGAGGAAACAAGTGCACGAAAAGGGTCCGGTGAGAAACGTTAAATTGCACCGACGATTTACTCCGACCTTTTAAACGCCATTTAAATGCGATGCAATCCGTTGTTCCATACAGTCGTCGGTTATAGTCTTTCAATTAGCCGAGGCGATGCGCGCCACTCCGTAACGTCTAGCACGGAAGTGCCAACAGCGTAAGTACGAAGCGAAATAATTTTCGAAAAGGCGTTCCCGTTCGCGTGAACGCGCGACAAGTGGCAAAAACGATCACGTTAAATCGTGCCAATCCCTATTGTTTGCGCGCCGTTACGATAGAAAGTGGCCCATATCTGTCGCTTTTATAGCTTGTAAAATATCCGCACGGGGTCGACGGTGCGCGCTACGCTTTTGGATTGCGTCCTAAACGTAAAAAGGGGGCCAGACAGCCCCCTCGATCGGGTTTAATCCGGGAGTTTTGGTGCTCCCTTGCTCATGCCGACTCCCTTGTCTACCCCGTGCGTAGACCCCGCGAAGAACGAGACAGGATCGAGCGGAGTGCCTTCCCTCAACCGGGAGGAAAGGAATAAAATAGAGCAACGGTTGAAAAACTTAACATGCTCGCAAGCACGCCCGACCGGACCCCTTCCCCGCTTTTAATATATGCCGTAAAAGCTGTTTTTAACGACTTCGACGTTGCACTCTTCTCCTCGAGGATGGGAATTAAGCGAGCCGAGGTCCGAGTCCCGTCCCGCTTTATCCACGGACCCTTTTTCTTTTATTACCCTCGATCTTACCAGCGAATCTTCGCGTCAGGTTCGAGTCGAATCGATAATGCGCCGCGTTTAAACGTGTTCCGATGCGTTTTGCATTTCCAAAGCACCGTGTCGTGGTTGACGAGACGACGCGACGACGCGACGAGAATCGCGAGAGGAGACCAGCCAGGTGTTTGGCGAACTCGGCGCTAGCGCGGTCGCGCGATTAATTTGCGTGAAACGCGCAACCGTGGCATCGCGGAAACCGCCGGCACAATGCCATTATTCACGGTCGAAAGGGAGTACAAAGGAAAGAAGGCATTAACGGTCACGATTCGCCTCCTCGAGGGTTGCCCTCGCGAGCAACCCCGAAGAAAACGAGAAACATCACGAATCTTGGCGCGATTCTCGGCTCGGGACGGCCCCCTTCCACGCATGAAAGGAGATCCACGGAAGAACCTATGCTATCCGTTCTTGCGAAACAAAACGCGGCAAATGCGTTCGTCCCAATGGTCCCGTGGTCTTTCGACGCGAATCTTCCGTACCGCGATGGCGAATAGGAAAGGGCGGGCCGCGGAAGAAAGAAAGAAAGAAAGAAAGAAAGAAAGCAGATGCGGCGAAATTTCCACGAACACGCGTTTGCGCGTGCTCGAGCAAAGAGAAAAGCACGTTTGACGGTACGCGCGACTTTGACGGATCTTCGTTCGACCACCGGGACGCGAAATCGTCGCGGCGGCTGAACGGAAGGAAGGAACGCGTGACAAGATCGCTTAGACGCTAAAGATAAAATCGTGGTCTGGACAGATAAAAGCAGACGTTGCCAAGAAACTCGGGAGTTGCACCGTGAGAGAGATATTCGTGTCTAGAAGAGACGAGAGGGAGACGAAGAAGCAAAGGGAGGGCAGGTGAGCACTTGGTACCTAATCCCTTTTGAAAACGTGGCAAACACACGGGCGCAAAAGCTACACGCACGAGGAGTATACGGGCTGTGTACGGATCGTGAGGCGGTCCCTAAAAATAGTCTATTCATCGTAGCGAACACCCTCTTCCCCCTCTCGTCCCTCGAGCCGTCCTTCTTTCTCGACTCCTTCCGCGCTCTTCGCTCAGCTTAGCTCCGAGTCTCGGTTCTGATTTATATTGGATTGACCCCGGGCACACCTTTTGCTAGTGGCGTTTCTCTCGAAATGGTCCCGTGTCTCGTCGAGTACAGGTCGGAGGGGCGAAACGAGCAAGGTGAGAGGGAGAGAGATTGAGGAGCGGATGCACGAGGTAGGAAGAGAAGAGAAGAGGGACGTCTAAACCGAGGGACCAGGGGGACTTCACAAGAGAGCCAGTCGAGGACAATCAAACGCGCATTCACGGTACTGACGTGCTCGGTTTTCGGCAACGGGGCGAGACGAGAAGACATGGTAGGAAAGAAGAAAGGAAAGAAGAAAGGAAGGAAGGAAAAAGGGAGATCGCAGAATCGGGGCAGGGACAGGAAAGCCGGCGAGAAAACGCGTCCCGAAGACAGAGTTTCGGTTCGCGCTCTATTTCGAGCACACCTGTCCCCCGTTTTGTCCTTCCTCCTGTTTCGTATTCCCATAACGCGTGGCCCCCTTCGAGATCGCGAGTTTGCGTACACGCCGTCGTTACCTCCGTGCAACCGATGTTTTCCACCGTTCCACGCTACCTACCGATCTATGTCCCGCCACGACGGTGGATCGTTCAACGTCGGTCGTTCTTACGACTGGGTCGTAAAGTTTCCAAACTTACCCGAGACGGTACGCGTAATCGTGGATATTCTCGTTCGTCCACCGATAAACCCGCCCTCGCGAATATTCGTGGTCGAAGAAGCGGTTCGTGACCGAGCGACGAGACGAATCCGGCTCGATACAAAGGGTGGAAGGATAACAAGGATTGAACGGGTAACAGAGGAGAAAGGAACGCGCGGTTCGGTTAATAACGAATTGAAATTAAACTGGAAA